GTGGCAGGCTTGGGATTTGAATCCAGGCCATCTTGGCTTCAGAGTTCTTGGCCTTCCCATGCCCACAGTCTACTTTCCCTGACACATACGCCTCAGTGTGTTGCTGGAGTCTTTGTTTCAGCACTTTCCCAGGCTGTCATCTGTGGACATCTTTTCCCTCCCCAGCCTGTAAGGTTCTTGAGGACAGCATGTGTATCAGTACATATGCTCCCAATACTTTCTCCTGCTTCTCTTGAGGGAAGCACCAGTGGTTGCTGGTGAGGCCCTGGGCAAGGACCCAGAAGTGACTGTCAGGTAGACTAGGCTGCTCCTGCTGGCTGGGAGTGTTCTCTTCTGGGGCTGGACTCCAGGAAGAAGTGGGGAGCCTGCTGGAGATGCACTTAGGGGGTTGTTGGCCAGACCTGCTTATAAGCAAATGTAGGAATCTTGGAAGAGGAGAGAGTTCTGGAAAGGAAAGCCTGTGACAGGTGATTTTGAGAGGAGAAATCTGAATTTTTATCCAGTGACTGGAGGTGCTGGAATGGCAAGGGCCAAGCTAGGGTCATGTTGGAAGTGATCGGGAGATACATGTTGGCCAGATGTGAGGAAGGCCTGTGTGAGTGTGAGAGCAGTTTGAAGACACAAAGAGTCACCTTGAAAGAGGGAGCTTCCTGTCATGGGAGACCTGGAGCAGCTGCTTCTAAAGGAGTGACACAGAAGGTGAGTCACCATCTGTAGACCGTACTAGAGGACTGTTACGGTCCCGCCAACTTGGAGATTCTGTGATTCACTTGACATGAAATGCGACGTTGTGGGCCTAACGTTATTGCTTTTGTCAAGAGTTCTATTCCTAGAGGCAGGATGGATGAAGAGGCTCTTGTGGGAATGATGACAGAGTGATGCCATCAGCAGCTTTGCTGTCTGCCACGTTTAGCAACTTTTAATTGTCACCCTCCTCTGCTTGGGCAGTCTCTGAGCTGTGGGCGAGCCCAGGTGACTGCACCAGGAACAGGTGGGCTTGGGCAAAGGTTCTCACAGAGCCTTGTTCAGGAGAGTGAGTGCTGCCAGGCGGAGGACAGAATCCTGGTGGGAGACGAAGCTCACCTGCAGGACCGATCTGCCACTTCCCGGGGGATTGTGTTGGTGGGAGGTGGCTTTCCAGGGGTGGGTCTCTGGGCTGCAGACTGACCATCCATCAACTTGGGCCAAGGGGTACTTGCTCAGGGACTGTGAGTTACGCCACGTGGTAGTTCTGATAGCCCTGCGGTAGGATGAGTGCCCAGAGCCAGAGCTGACATTTACATTCCCATCCCAGCTGTTTGCCACTTCCAAAAGTGACTCTGACACTTGCCATTCTACCCTGGGATGTTGAGAGTAAAATGAAGTGCAGGGCATGTGGTGTGTTCCGGTGCTCTCCACGTGAAGGGCGCCAGCGCCTTTGGGGGCTGCTCATGCAGCCTGCTTCATATGCTCTGACGGAGCGGCCAGGTGAGCAGGGATAAGACCTTGCCCCAGAGCCATGGGGTGGACTGCACGGGGGACGTGGGAGAGCTGGAGACTGGACGTGTGTGGGCAGCAGAGCGGAATGCAAGGAGGCAGGTGGTTTATTTCTGGGCTCGTGCTTGGATTCTGCTGGATGCCTTTAATTGCCTCGTGTTCCCATGGCCAGTGTGGATAGGGGCTCATGTGCCACCTCTGGGCCACCGCTTGGCTCCCTGGAGCCCCATCCTCTTGGCATCCCTCTGCTGTTGTTGCCCTGGTTACACACTCACCTCCTGTGGTGGCAGAAACTTGCCCATCTCCCCACATCGTTGCATTTAGCATTTTTGCCAAAACACCTTGCTCCGACCACCCACAGCATCTCGTTATCCCAAGGTCCTTTCATTACTGCTGTTTCCCACCACCCTGCTGAGGTCTCTTCCAACAGAGGGGTATATTGTGGGTTGCGTTCAGAGCAGCTTCTGGTGCCCTATCCATCCCCTCCCTCTCCTGCTCTTCCCATTGTCTGCCTCAATAGCTCTGCCCTTTCACAGGCCCTGTTGCTTCTAGGCCCTTGAGTTCCTCTGGAGCCTGCTGGGGCTCTTGTTTCTCCCACATTCTGACCTCTTTAAATCTGCTTATGACCTCCCACGCTCATCCCCTGCCTGCCCCCACTGAGGTGGTTAAAGGTGACCTGATCCAACCACACCCCACGGCCGTGCCTCTCCAGACTCTCCTTCCTCGTAGGTTTCTCTGTCTCCCAGTGCGAGTGTGGTGCCCAGACCTGAGCTTTGCTGCAGCATGGCCTGGCCAGCCTGAAGCAGGAGACTGAGTCACCTTCGTCTCTTCACTCATCCTGCCAACCCATGTAGACCTAGTGCCTGCCCTGAGCCGAGTCCTTTGTACCCAGGGTTCCAGGGACACAAGCCTCTGGGGACAGAGGCCACAGTAGGGGTGACATGCTGACAGCCACCAGGGATCCAAACTGCCTCAGAAATTAGAATGGGAAGAAGTTAAAAAAAAAAAAAAGCCAGGTTAGGCCCTGGAAATCACCTCACTTCAGCAGAACACTTGAGTGGAGATAGAAGAGACCATGAGGTAGCTAGCTCTGAAATCCAGAACCTTCTAGGGCTGTTCCAGGACATTGTTTTTTTGTTCTTGAGGTTTTTTTAATTTTAATTTTATTTATTTTTTATACCATAGGTTCTTATTAGTTATCTGTTTTATACATATTAGTGTATATATGTCAATCCCAATCTCCCAATTCATCCCACCACCACCAACCCCCCGTCACTTTCCCCCGTTGGTGTACGTACATTTGTTCTCTACATCTCTGTCTCTGTTTCTGCCCTGCAAACGGGTTCATCTGTACCATTTTTCTAGCTTCCACATATATGCGTTAATATACGATATTTGTTTTTCTCTTTCTGACTTGCTTCACTCTGTGTGACAGTCTGTAGATCCATCTGCGTCTCTACAAATGACCCAATTTCGTTCCTTTTATGGCTGAATATTCCATTGTATCTGTGTACCACATCTTCTTTATCCATTTGTCTGTCGATGGGCATTTAGGTTGCTTCCATGACCTGGCTATTGTAAATAGTGCTGCAGTGAACATTGGGGTGCTTGTGTCTTTTTGAATTATGGTTTTCTCAGGGTATATGCCCAGTAGTGGGATTGCTAGGTCATATGGTAATTCTATTTTTAGTTTTTTAAGGAACCTCCATACTGTTCTCCATAGTGGCTGTATCAATTTACATTCCTACCAACAGTGCTAGAGGGTTCCGATTTCTCCACACCCTCTCCAGCATTTGTTGTTTGTAGATTTTTTGATGATGCCCATTCTGACTGGTGTGAGGTGATACCTCATTGTAGTTTTGATTTACATTTCTCTAATAATTAGTGATGTTGAGCATCTTTTCATGTGCTTCTTGGCCATCTGTATGTCTTCTTTGGAGAAATGTCTATTTAGGTCTTCTGCCCTTTTTTTTTTTTTTTTTTTCCCCCTGTACGCAGGCCTCTCACTGTCGTGGCCTCTCCCATTGCGGAGCACAGGCTCTGGACGCGCAGGCTCAGCGGCCATGGCTCACAGGCCCAGCCGCTCCATGGCATGTGGGATCCTCCCAGACCGGGGCAGGAACCCGTGTCCCCTGCATCGGCAGGCGGACTCTCAACCACTGCGCCACCAGGGAAGCCCTGCCCATTTTTTGATTGGGTTGTTTGTTTTTTAAGTAATGAGCTGCATGAGCTATTTATATATTTTGGAGTTTAATCCTTTGTTTCTCATTTGCAAGTATTTTCTGCCATTCTGAGCGTTGTCTTTTTGTCTTTTCTCAACTTAAAAAAAAATTTATTTATTTAATTTATTTTTGGCTGTGTTGGGTCTTCATTGCTGCACGTGGGCTTTCTCTAACTGCGGTGAGCGGGGGCTTCTTATTGCGGTGGCTTGTCTTGTTGCGGAGCATGGGCTCTAGGTATGCGGGCTTCAGTTGTTATGGCACGCAGGCTCTAGAGTGCAGGCTCAGTAGTTGTGGCGCACGGGCTTAGTTGCTCCGTGGCATGTGGATCTTCCCGAACCAGAGCTCGAACCCGTGTCCCCTGCATTGGCAGGCGGATTCTTAACTGCTGCGCCACCAAGGAAGCCCTGTCTTTTCATCTTTTTTTTTTTTTTTTTTTTTTCTTGCGTTATGCGGGCCTCTCACTGTTGTGGCCTCTCCCATTTGCGGAGCACAGGCTCCGGACGCGCAGGCTCAGTGGCCATGGCTCACGGGCCCAGCCGCTGCGCGGCATGTGGGATCTTCCCGAAACGGGGCACGAACCCGCGTCTCCTGCATCGGCAGGCGGACTCTCAAGCACTGCGCCACCAGGGAAGCCCTGTCTTTTCATCTTGATTGTAGTTTCCTTTGCTTTGCAAAAGCTTTTAAGTTTCATTACGTTCCATTTGTTTATTTTTGTTTTTATTTCCATTACTGTGGGAGGTGGATCAAAAAAGATCTTGCTGTGATTTATGTCAAAGAGTGTTCTTCCGATGTTTTCCTCTGAGAGTTTTATAGTGTCTGGTCTTACATTTAGGTCTCTAATCCATTTTGAGTTTATTTTGTTTATGGTGTTAGGGAGTGTTCTAATTTCATTCTTTTACATGTAGCTGTCCAGTTCTCCCAGCACCACTTATTGTAAAAGACTGTCTTTTCTCCATTGTATATCCTTGCCTCCTTTGTCATAGATTAGTTGACCATAGGTGCGTGGGTTTATCTCTGGGCTTTCAATCCTGTTCCATTGATCTATATTTCTGTTTTTGTGCCAGTACCATATTGTCTTGATTACTGTAGCTTTGTAGTAGTCTGAAGTCAGGGAGTCTGATTCCTCCAGCTCCGTTTTTTTCCCTCAAGACTCCTTTGGCTATTCAGGGTCTCTTATGTCTCCATACAAATTTTAAGATATTTTGTTCTAGTTCTGTAACAAATGCCACTGGTAATTTGATATGGATTGCATTGAATCTGTAGATTGCTTTGGGTAGTGTAGTCATCTCTTTTTTTTTGAGGAACAAGAGCCCAGTTTTTTTTATTTGATCATTTCTTGCATTTGAAGTACTCCTCGATGACATCCTTGGCCTGAGACTCCTTGCCATAGTCCTTAACCACCACACAGCTGCAGCCAACCACTTTACGGGGTTTTCCCTCTCTGTTAGTTTTATAGAGGCCTACCCATTCCCCTAGTTTCTTGTTGTCATCAACCTTAATCAGGTTGATTTGGTGCTCAGCACAAAGGGCCTCCACCAACTTGACATACATAGGCTCATCACAGTTGGACGCAACCACACAGATATGGGCTTGGCGCTTGTCTAAGGCTTTGGCAGCTTCATGAATTCCACGTGCTAGGCCATCGTGGATGAGGGCGGTCTTAAGCACGTCTTGCAGAGCAGTATTAATGTCCATTACACCTCCAGCAGCAATGCCTTCCTCGGCCATGGCGGTGGGTTACGGGTGGAGCCGAATCTTGAGTGCACCCGTGCCTGCGCCTCCGCCTCCGCGCGGCTCCGCAGCGGCAGGGCAGTATAGTCATCTTCACAATATTGATTCTTCCAATCCAAGAACATAGTATATCTCTCTATCTGTTTGTCTCATCTTTGATTTCTTTCATCAGTATCTTATAGTTTTCTGAGTACAGGTCTTTTACCTCCTTAGGTAGGTTTATTACTAGGTATTTTATTCTTTTTGTTGCAATGGCGAATGGGATTCTTTCCTTAATTTCTCTTTCTGATCCTTCGTTGTTAGTGTATAGGAGTGCAAGAGATTTCTGTGCATTAATTTTGCATCCTGCAACTTTACCAAATTCATTGATGAGCTCTAGTAGTTTTCTGGTGGCATCATTAGGATTCTCTATGTGTAGTATCATGTCATCTGCATACAGTGACAATTTTACTTCTTCTTTTCCAATTTGTATTCCTTTTATTTCTTTTTCTTCTCTGGTTGCTGAGGCTAGGACTTCCAAAACTATGTTGAATAATAGTGGCGAGAGTGGACATCCTTGCCTTGTTCCTGATCTTTGAGGAAAAGCTTTCAGTCTTTCACCATTGAGAATGATGTTTGCTGTGGGTTTGTCGTATATGGCCTTTATTATGTTGAGGCAGGTGTGCTCTGTGCCCACTTTCTGGAGAGTTTTTATCATAAATGGGTGTTGAATTTTGTCAAAAGCTTTTTCTGCATCTATTGAGATATATGGTTTTTATCCTTCAGTTTGTTAATATGGTGTATCACATTGATTGATTTGCATATATTGAAGAATCCTTGCATCCCTGGGATAAATCCCACTTGATCATGGTGTTTGATTCTTTTAATGTGTTGTTGGATTCTGTTTGCTAGTACTTTGTTGAGGATTTTTGCATCTATATTCATCAGTGATACTGGTCTGTAATTTTATTCTTTTGTAGTATCTTTGTCTGGTTTTGGTATCAGGGTGATGGTGGCCTCATAGAATGAGTTTGGGAGTGTTCCTTCCTCTGCAATTTTTTGGAAGAGTTTGAGAAGGATGGGTGTTAGCTCTTCTCTAAATGTTTGATAGAATTCACCTGTGAAGCAATCTGATCCTAGTCTTTTGTTTGTTGGAAGATTTTTAATCACAGTTTCAATTTCACTACTTGTGATTGGTCTGTTCATATTTTCTATTTCTTCCTGGTTCAGTCTTGGAAGGTTATACCTTTCTAAGAATTTGTCCATTTCTTCCAGGTTATCCATTTTATTGGCATAGAGTTGCTTGTAATAGTCTCTTAGGATGCTTTGTATTTCTGCGGTGTCCATTGTAACTTCTCCTTTTTCATTTCTAATTTTATTGATTTGAGTCCTCTTCCTCTTTTTCTTGATGAATCTGGCTAAAGGTTTATCAATTTTGTTTACCTTTTCAAAGAACCAGCTTTTAGTTTTATTGATCTTTGCTCTTGTTTTCTTTGTTTCTATTTCATTTATTTCTGCTCTGATCTTTATGATTTCTTTCCTTCTACTAACTTTGGATTTTGTTTGTTCTTCGTTCTCTAGTTCCTTTAGGTGTAAGGTTAGATTGTTTATTTGAGATTTTTCTTGTTTCTTGAGGTAGGCTTGTATTGCTATAAACTTGCCTCTTAGAACTGCTTTTGCTGCATCCCATAGGTTTTGGGTCGTCGTGTTTTCATTGTAATCTGTCTCTAGGTATTTTTTGATTTCCTCTTTTATTTCTTCAGTGATCTCTTTGTTATTTAGTAACATATTGTTTAGCCTCCATGTGTTTGTGTTTTTTACGTTTTTTTCCCTGTAATTAATTTCTAATCTCCTAGTGTTTTGGTCGGAAAAGATGCTTGATATGATTTCAGTTTTCTTAAATTTACCAAGGCTTGATTTGTGACCCAAGATGTGATCTATCCTGGAGCATGTTCCGTGTGCACTTCAGAAGAAAGTGTAATATGCTGTTTTTGGATGGAATGTCCTATAAATATCAATTAAATCTATCCGGTCTATTGTGTCATTTAAAGTTTGTGTTTCCTTATTAATTTTCTGTCTGGATGATCTGTCCATTGGTGTAAATGAGGTGTTAAAGTCTGCCACTATTATTGTGTTACTGTCGATTTCCTCTTTTAGAGCTGTTAGCAGTTGCCTTATGTATTGAGGTGCTCCTGTGTTGGGTACACATATATTTATAATTGTTATATCCTCTTCCTGGATTGGTCCCTTGATCATTATATAGTGTCCTTCCTTGTCTCTTGTAACATTTATTTTAAAATCTCTTTTATCTGATGTGAGTATTGCTACTCCAGCTTTCTTTTGATTTCATTTGCATGGAATATCTTTTTCCATCCCCTCACTTCCAGTCTGTATGTGTCCCTAGGTCTGAAGTGGGTCTCTTGCAGACAGCGTATAGATGGGTCTTGTTTTTGTATCCATTCAGCAAGCCTGTGTCTTTTAGTTGGAGCATTTAATCCATTCATGTTTAAGGTAATTATTGATATGTATGTTCCTATTACCATTTTCTTAATTGTTATGGATTTGTTTTTGTAGGTCCTTTTCTCCTCTTGTGTTTCCCACGTAAAGAAGTTCCTTTAGTATTTGTTGTAGAGCTGGTTTTGTGGTGCTGAATTCTCTTATCTTTTGCTTGTCTGTAGAGCTTTTGATTTCTCCATCGAATCTGAATGAGATCCTTGCCGGGTAGAGTAATCTTTTTTTTTTTTTAGCATCTTTATTGGTGTATAATTGCTTTACAATGGTGTGTTAGTTTCTGCTTTATAACAAAGTGAATCAGCTGTACATATACATATATCTCCATATCTCCTCCCTCTTGTGTCTCCCTCCCATCCTCTCTATCCCACCCCTCTAGGTGGTCACAGAGCACTGAGCTGATCTCCCTGTGCTATGCAGCTGCTTCCCACTAGCTATCTATTTTACGTTTGGTAGTGTATATATGTCCATGCCACTCTCTCATTTCGTCCTAGCTTACCCTTTCCCCTCCTTGTGTCCTCAAGTCCATTCTCCACGTCTGCATCTTTATTCCTGTCCTGCCCCTAGGTTCTTCAGAACCATTTTTTTTTAAAAGATTCCATATATATGTGTTAGCATACGGTATTGCCCCCGAGTAGAGTAATTTTGGTTGTAGGTTCTTCCCTTTCATCACTTTATATATATTGTGCCACTCCCTTCTGGCTAGTAGAGTTTCTGCCGAGAAATCAGCTGTTAACCTTATGGGAGTTCCCTTGTATGTTATTTGTCGTTTTTCCCTTGATGCTTTCAATAATTTTTCTTTGTCTTTCATTTTTGTCAGTTTGATTACTAATGTGTCTCAGCGTGTTTCTCCTTGGGTTTATCCTGCCTGGGACTCTCTGCACTTCTGGACTTGGGTGGCTATTTCCTTTCCCGTTTTAGGGATGTTTTCGACTATAATCTCTTCACATATTTTCTTGGGTCCTTTCTCTCTCTCTTCTTCTTCTGGAACCCCTATAATGCAAATGTTGTTGTGTTTAATGTTGTCCCAGAGGTCTCTTAGGCTGTCTTCATTTCTTTTCATTCTTTTTTCTTTATTCTGTTCCATAGCAGTGAATTCCACCATTGTGTCTTCCAGGTCACTTATCCGTTCTTCTGCCTCAGTTATTCTGCTATTGATTCCTTCTATTGTATTTTTCATTTCAGTTATTGTATTGTTCATCTCTGTTTGTTCCTTAATTCTTCTAGGTCTTTGTTCTTTAATTCTTCTAGGTCTTTGTTAAACATTTCTTGCATTTTCTCGATCTTTGCCTCCATTCTTTTTCCGAGGTCCTGGATCATCTTTACTGTCATTATTCTGAATTCTTTTTCTGGAAGGTTGCCTATCTCCACTTCATTTAGTTGTTTTTCTGGGGTTTTATCTTGTTCCTTCTCTGGTACAGAGTCCTCTGCCTTTTCATTTCGTCTGTCTTTCTGTGAATGTGGTTTTCCTTCCACAGGCTGCAGAATTGTAGTTCTTCTTGCTTCTGCTGTCTGCCCTCTGGTGGATGAGGCTATCTGAGGGACTTGTGCAGGCTTTCTGATGGGAGGGACTGATGGTGGGTAGAGCTGGGTGTCGCTCTGGTGGGCCCAGGACATTGTTAAAAGCAGACATTACTTGGTTGCTGACACAGGTTGCCAACATCCCTGATTAGAAAGCAAGCACACAGCATCCTTCCTCACTCTTGAGTTGCACTCTGTTTCCCTCCTGTCCCTGTCCTTCACTTTGCAGACTCTGGGCAGGGACAGGTTGGGGAGCAAGATTTCATTTTGTTATTCATATCAAGTTTTATTTTTTTTAATTTATTATTATTATTTTTTTGAATTTTATTTATTTTTTATACAGCAGGTTCTTATTAGTTATCTATTTTATACATATTAGTGTATATATGTCGATCCCAATCTCCCAATTCATCCCACCATCCCCAGCCCCCACTTTCCCCCCTTGGTGTCCATACGTTTGTTCTCTACATCTGTGTCTCTATTTCTGCCTTGCAAACTGGTTCATCTGTACCATTTTTCTAGGTTCCACATATATGCATTAATATACGATATTTGTTTTTCTCTTCCTGACTTGCTTCACTCTGTATGACAGTCTCTGGATCCATCCATGTCTCTACAAATGACCCAGTTTTTTCCCCTTTTTATGGCTGAGTAATATACCGTTGTATATATGTACCACATCTTTATCCATTCGTCTGTCATTGGGCATTTAGGTTGCTTCCAAGACCTGGCTATTGTAAGTAGTGCTGCAGTGAACATTGGGGTGCATGTCTTTTTTTTTTTACATCTTTATTGGAGTATAATTGCTTTACAGTGTTGTGTTATTTTTTGCTATATAACAAAGTGAATCTGCTGTATGTATACATATATCCCCATATCCCCTCCCTCTTGCGTCTCCCTCCCACCCTCCTTATCCCATCCCTCTAGGTGGCTGCAAAGCACAGAGCTGATCTCCCTGTGCTATGCAGCTGCTTCCCACTAGCTAGCTATTTTACATTTGATAGTGTATATATGTCAGTGCTACTCTCTCACTTCGTCCCAGCTTACCCTTTCCCCCTCCAT